TTTTTTTTTGAGATTTTTGCTATAGGGTGCATGCACTTGCCAGAAGGACAGAGAGAGACAGAGAGACAGAAAGGGAGAAATCACCCCCCAGGGGAGATGGCCACGCCGCAATCCCTTCTCCTCCATTCTTCTCTTGGGATCTTGGGCACGCACACACATGCACCTGGCATGAGTCTAAGCCACCGAGTCTGGGACTTGAACCGAGGTGAACTACATGGGAGTTCAGTGACATAGCCATTATGCTAACTGCTGGTCCTGAGACCCTTACTCTTGAGAGAGTAGTCCACTATTTAAAGACCGAGCTCTGGAGTAGGACACATGTGCATTATGTGCTTCCCTAACATTTTCAGTTGTTACCTTGTTTTATCAGGGGAGAATCCTGCTTGGAGTTATTATTATTATTTTACAGATGAGCTGACTGAGGCTCAGAAGTTATGCTGATTAAGGTAAATACAGGTGCAATGAAATACAAAGCTGGTGTGACTCTAGAGTCTTCTTCCATCATAACATTAACCTCTAAGTATTAATTGGTGAATTCTCTAAATCAGTTCATTGAAGTATAAATCTAATTTCCCCAATACCCTCAAGGATTTTCCCTCTTCCTTGCCCTTTTGCTGCCTTGTCACAAAAAAATTTATGTGTACTATGTCTTCTCTCTTATTCTCTACAGCTATGATTATTTATTCACTAACTATAGTACCTCTTTTTCTTTTCCTGTTTCTGTGTACACACACATTAGGCTTGGAACGAGCTTCCTGTTCTCATTTAACAAAATAGTCTGAGAGGTAGGATGGGGGATTATCTGGGTTGGAACTGCAGTAAGACCTGGTACTAAATAGCCTTTACCTTTCTGTACTTTAGTTTCCATTTGTAAAGTGTGGATAATAATGGTGTCTACTTTGTAGAAACATGAGGATTCTGTAAATTAATGCATTTAAGGCACTTAGAACACAAATGGAGTTGAAAACATTTGTGAAAAAAATGGGATAAAGAACTAAAAATAGGGACCAGCAGTTAACGTAATGGCTATGTCATTGGACTCCCATGTAGTTGACTGTGGTTCAAATCCTGGACCCGGTGGCTTAAACTCACGCCAGGCGCGTGTACGTGCATGCCCAAGATCTCGAGAGGAGAATGGAAGGGAAGGGATTGTGGCATGGCCATCCCCCCTGGGGGGTGATTTCTTGCTTTCTATCTCTCTGTCTCTGTCTGTCTGGCAAGCGCACGCACCCTATGGCAAAAACCTCTCCAAAAAAAAAAAAAAAAAAGAACTAAAAATAAAACATAACTTCATTTTTCAACAGAAGCGCCATCAAGTACAAGGCACGTTAGTAGGCAGTGATACTAGCCACTTAGTCCACCCCTAAAGAACTGAGGGTCCTGAGAATTTAACCATATTAGGGCAATCTTTTCACATTATAAATTGAAAAAAAAAATGAGTGTCTTTTAAAGATCCTTTAAGATTGGGGTGGGGGGGAGCCAGAAGGACTGTAAGGTGGATGCCCAATGATTTCTCACTGAAACTCGCAGAACTGCCCTTGTTTGATGAGAGGAATGAGTAGGAGCATTGCCATGGTGGAGGACTCTCTGGTGAAAGTTTGCTGGGCATTTTTCTGCTAAAACGTCACCTAGCTTTGTCTAAACATTCACAATGAGCATATTCATTAGCTAACCAGCTCTTTAGACCTCTAGAAAGGTAACAAGCAAAATGCCTTGGACATCCCAAAAAACTACTGCCATGACCTTTGCTCTTGAGGGGTCCACTTTTGCTTTTGAGTGGACCACTTCCACTCTTGGTAGCCATTATGTTGTGCTTTGTATTCAGGATCATAATGATAAAGCCATGTTAACATGTCATCTCCTGTTACATTTTTTTGGAGGAAAAAAAAGCTTCAGGATCTTGATCTGACTTGTTTAAAATTTCTAGAGAAAGCTCTGCTCTTGTCTGCAGCTGGTCTGGGTGCAACAGTTTTTGGTCCTAATCAAGCAGAGTTTGCCCAACTTTAATATATTCAGTCAGAATTGTGTCAGCTGCACCAACTGCAATGTCTATGATGTTGACTGTTGTCTCTGCTGTTAATCATTAGTCTGCTTCAGTTAGGGCATGGATAAGAATAATTATTTTCCTTGTAAATTATTGTGATGGCCTGCTGCTGTAGGCATCACATACCACACTGTCTCAGTTCTTCTTTTTTTTATTTTGGAAAAGGTTTTCGCTATAGGACGTGCGCGCTCGCCAGACAGACAGAGTTAGACAGAGAGACAGAAAGTGAGAAACCACCCCCCAGGGGGGATGGTCACGCTGCACTCCCTTCTCCTTCATACTCCTCTTGGGATCTTGGGCACGCACGCACTCCTGGCGTGACTTTTAAGCCACCGGGTCCAGGACGTGAACCATGGTCGACTACGTGGGAGTCCAGCACATAGCCATTAACGCTAACTGCTGGTTCCCTGTCTCAGCTTTTCTTAAGACAAGCTATTCATTTGTATATTGCTGATTTCTCTGGGGCATTGTCCCCATAAACTTTTTGTAAAATATCAATGATTTCACCATTTTTTTCACCCAAGTTTGACCATAAATTTGATATTTGTTCTTGTTTTAATTTCAGCAGAATTCATGTTGCTCTGATAGGGGCTCTTTTCAAATGGATGTCTTTTTAAAGTTTGTTTCTTTCTTTCACAACAGTGAGAAACAGAGAGATCAAGACAAGCATTCTCAAGAGGGTTTCATGCCATGATCCTCCCCTAGCCCCTCCCAGCCAGCCAGGACCATGGGCATGATGCCTGGTATGTACAGCTGACTGAGGAAATGAATCTGTGTTCTTCCATATGAATCCAGCATCATTGGAGCAATGTATTACTACTGTGCCACTGAGCCAGCCCCCAAACTGATGTCATCTTCTTAGTGCCTTAAACTAGATCCTGTTCAGATACAACGAGTAAGTACAAGTTTATTTTGGTACCAAAAAAAAAAAAAAACCAAACCTGAAATCCATGAATATTTTCCTCCTAATATGTATTTTCCATGAACTTTTAAAATACTCTGTCAGATAGATAGTAAGAAAGCAATAAATGTTAGCTTTTATTACTATCAGGTTGTCAGAAAAGTCATGATTTGCTCAAACTTCAAAATATACTTCTTCCAGAAAAAATAAATCACTTAACATTTTTGAGACTTTAAGAGTTCATTGATCATGTTCTCATTCTTTCTTTCATCTGACACTCAGAACAAATCTGTGAGGGACACAGCATATACAGCATTTTGTAGATAATGAAATTGAGTGATGAGTCTGATATGGTCCATTGAGGATTGCAATCCAGGTCACTACCCCACCCTAGACCACTGTTAATTTTACTCTCAATACAGAAAAAGAATTAATAAACTGGTTTTTGGAATACCTGGTTCTTTATCAGTGAAATATCACTATCACACAGTTTACATTTCCTTTTAATAATGAAGATTAAATGTGCCAAAAAATATAGGTGAAAGAGCTTGTAACTTAATTCACAGAAAATATCATGTTAGTAACTTACAGACAAAAATCAAACTGTCAAGTACTATTTGTAGAGTCCCAGGTAAACATTCACTAACCAGAAGGAGAGAGGAAAAATACAACAACAGACAAAATTTATTAAAACAATAGTTTTCCCTCTTTCTTGGGTTTTTCCCTATTCATGACTTAATGCCACTGACATTTTGCCATTAAAGCTATGTTTGTTTGTTAAATGATTGTTACAAAGGTGAATGATTAAACTTTGAATAGAGTGAATTGAGGCCGAAGAGAAAGAGCTAAAGTATATAATCTAAAATAGTGTGGAGAAATTCAGATGTACTTAATTATGAGAAATTCTAAATACTTTGTGGTATTTTGTAAAAGTCCATAGAAATATTCCCAACTCCCTCCACCCTTACTGAAAAATTTCCTTGGAAATAGAATTCTTCTAGGAAATATGAGTACTTCCTTATTTTTTTTTGGATAGTCAAAAGATTCTTAGTCATTAATCATAAGGAAATGAAACAGTAACACATGAACTTGATATCACTTTAGATGATACAAATTCCTACTTTTGAAAAATAAATTAGGGTCCAGCCCCATGGCCTGGATTCCACATAAGGAGCTGGATTCCACAGAGCTGACCCTGTGGTTTGACTCGTGGACCCAGTGGCTTGAAAAACATACTGGGTTTGTGTGTGAGTGCCCAAAATTCTGACAAGATGGAGAGATGGAGGAGAAGGTATTGTGGTGTGATTATGTCCCATTGGGGGGTGTTTTCTCTTTCTTTTTTTTCTCTAGTGAGAGTGCACATGCTCTTTGGCAATTAAAAAAAAAGAAAGAAAAGGATAAGTTAGAAATGCTTTAAAAATTTTTTTTTAAAAAGTTTTTGCCATAGGGTACATGTGCTCACTGGAGAGACAGAAAGAGACAGAGGGAAAGTGAGAAATCATCCCCCAAGGGGGATAGCCACACCACAATCCCTTCTCCTCCTGGGATTATTAGGTATACATGCATATGTGCCTGGTGTGATTTTCCAGCTGCGAGGCCCAGGACTCAAACTGTGGTCAGTTATGTGGACTTCTAGCACCTTAACCACTACACCACCTGCTGGCCCCTAAAAACTCTAATAACCCTAATACCCAATATATACCTTATAACACAGCATTTACTAAAAAAATTAATCAAGTGCCAAATATGACTTACTACTTCACTTTTGGGTATGATCTTTTAAACTGTGAATATATTTTTAGGGTGTAGCCATTTTCTCCCATTAAAATGAAGCACTTCATACCTGCACGTGATGGGCAACAGACTGGAGAATTTGTGTAGGCATTCAGAAAGGAAGTGCCATGTGCTTTCATGAAGTTGACAAAAGGAAGCTTCACTACCTGACTTCCTGGATGAAATGTTAACCTTCCATCCTAGAATAAAGAAATATGATTAACTCTGGCTGCATTACAAAAGAAGTCAGTGCAGCATTACACTTGGATTCATACAAATATAGCAAATAAACTGAAGAGCTTCTTGAGATATTCTTTTGGGGGTCAGTGGATTTAGTGAAAACTATTTGAGTGCTTACCATGTGTCAGGCACTGTGCAAGATCTAAAGATACAATAGTGACTAAAACAAAGTCTTGCCTTCGTGAAGCTTACTATTTAGTGGGAGAGGCAGAAAGTATACTGATAAATAAACCATGAATTATTACAAACCATGGCCAGCTGTGGTGGTGCAGTAATAACACTGTAGCTACATGGGAAGGTTCCAGGATTGCTCCTCAAAGTTTCCCTATATATGCAGGGGGTGATTAAGCATGCCCTTGAGCCTGGCTGTCTGAGGCTAGGTCCTTTGAATTTCCATTTTAGAATGGGTTTTTTCTATTTCTGTGAAACAAAAGTTGAAGAAATTTTTCTTGAGATTATGTTGACTCTTTAGATCAATTTGGTAAGTATTACTATATTAAGAATATTAAATCTTCTGATCCATGAACATGGTATATCTTCCCATTTATTTAGGTTTTTAAAAAAATTTCTTACAACCTTGATTGGTAAATTTTCATAATATTATAGGTACACTTCTTTGGTTAGATTTACTACTAAGGAGTTCAATTTTTGATGCTACTTTTTAAAATTTAATTTTTATTTATTATTATTTAAAAAAATTTGCTACAGGGCATGTGTGTTGATGCTACTTTTAATTGAATAATTTTCATAATTTCAAGTTTGTTCATCAATTAAGTTTATGAAAATACAGTTGATTTTTGTAAAATGCTCTTGTATCCCACAGTCTTACTAACTTTATTTATTGGTTCAACAGTTAGATAACAGGTTCCCTAGGACTCAATATAAAATATTAAAAAAAAAAGTTTTACTTCTTTATCTCCAATATAGATGCCTTTTATTCCATTTGGTTGTCTGATTTCCAGGCTAGAACATCTAGGACAATGCTAAATGTAAGTGGTGAGAACACAAAATCTTGTCTTTCTTCTGATCTTAGGGAGAAACATTTTGTCTTTTACCATTACATAAAGTATTAGCTCTGGCTTTTTTATAGCTATCCTATATAAGATTGAGGACATTTCTTTCTATTTCTAGGCAGCTGGGTGCTTTTATCATGAAGGTTGTTGAATTTTGTCAAAATGCTTTTTTTTGCATCTTTTGAGATCATCACTTGGTTTTTGCTCTTTATTCAGTTTACATGTGGTATTATATTAATTAATTTTAAATAAACTTGTACTTTAATTCCACTTCCTAGGAACTTTAAAAAAAATATTATTATTATCACTTTTTTTTTCAAGAGAGACTTTTGCTATAGGGCACATGCACTCACCAGAGAAACAGAGAGAAGAAAGTGAGAAATCACCCACCCCCCAGGGGAGATGGCCACATCACAATTCCTTCTCTTCTGGATTTTGGGCACACATGCATAAGTATCCAGTGTGAGTTTTAAGTTGCTGGGGCTGGGACTTGAACCATGGTTGGCCATGTGGGAGCCCAGTGCCTTAACCACTACACCGCCTGCTGGCCCCATCATTATCATTTTTAACTCTCCATAGGACCAGAGAGAGAAAGACACACACCCAGAGAGGGAGAGAAAGAGAAACAGAAAGTGAAAAAGTAAGCCACCAGGTCCAGGACTTGAACCATGGTTAGTAATGTGGAAGTCTAGCCACTTAACCACCACCTCTGGCCCCCTTATTAACTTATTTTCAGAGAGTACTCTACATTCTGGAGCTAAATCTCACTTGTTCATGGTCTACAATCTTTTTTACATACTGGTTAATAGTATTTTTTACATACTGGTTACTAGCATTTTGTTGAAGATCTTTGTTTCTATATTCCTAAGAGATACTGGTCTGTAGTAGTCTTTTCTTATGATGTATTTGGCTTTGGAATCGGGCACATACTGATCTTATTGAATGAATTTGAAAGTGTTCCCTCCTTTTCTATCTTTTAGAAGAGATTAGGAAGAATTAGTATTAATTTTTTAAATGTTTGACAGAATTTACCAGTGGAGCCATCTGTAACTGGGCTTTTCTTTTGTAGATAGTTTTAAAATGACTAATTCAAACTTTGTTACGGTTGCATTCAGATGGTCTATCTCTTATAGAGTCAGTCTGGATAGTCTATGTCTTTCAAGCAATTTGTCTAGCTCATCTAAGTTATTCACTTTGTTTAGATACAGTTGTTAGATATAAGAGACTATAAATATTCCCTTATAATTCTCTAATTTTTTAAAAAGAGTTATTTATTTCCATTTGTTACTATCATTATTTTTATTTTGAAGAGAGAGAGAGAAAGTGAGAAAGCAAGCTGCCAGGTCTGGGACTCAAAACCATGGTCGGCCATGTGGGAATCCAGCACCTTTAACCATCCTGCCACCTGCCTGCCCAAATTCTCTTATTTTTTAAATTAATATCCCTTCTTTCCTTTATGATTTTAGTAATTCGGACTTTTATTTTAGCTAAAGCTCTATTAATTTTATTGATCTTTTCAAAAAAACAACTTGATGTCATTGATTTTCCCTATTTCCTTCATTTCTACTCTTATCCTCACTGTCTCCTTTCTTCTGCTTGATTTGCATGTCTGATCTTCTCAGCTTCTCTCTCTTTGTCTCTTTGCACTAGTAGTGAGCTACGGCAGGCATCCTTGGGGCTCTAAATTCTCAGCTTCCTGCACTTGCCATAGAGCCTTTGTCCTATTAGTGGGGGGTGAATGGAAGAAAGAAGTCCTCAACTTCTCAGTTGCATTCACCAGGAATTTAGCCACTTCAACTTGGATTCACAGAACATGAGAAATGCCAGTAGCCTGCCCTTTCTGGTGGGATACTTCAATTGGTGATTGGGAGCCTAGGAAGAAGGATCTCTGTCTTCATGAGAGTGATGCCTCTATCAATCTGAGCCAGGCTCAGTGATGCAGACTCACGTTCTTATGAACTTTAGTACTTGAATAAATGTTTCTTGATTTGATGTATGCCTTTGGAAATTTTTTCAGCTGCTTAAAAATGTTTTGAATCTTAGTCATTTTTATTTATAGCTTAAAAATAGTTGTCACGGGACCAGCAGTTGGCGCAATGGCTGTGTCACTGGACTCCCACGTAGTCGACTGCGGTTCGAGTCCCAGACCCGGTGGGTTAAACTTAACGCCAGGCGTGTGTGTGTGTGTGTGTGTGTGTGTGTGTGTGTGTACCCAAAATCTTGAGAGAAGAATGGAGAAGGGATTGCGGTGTGGCCATCCCCCCGAGGGGCGATTTCTCATTTTCTGTCTCACTGACAAGAGCACACACCCTATAGCAAAAAACCTCTCCCAAAAAAAAAAAAAAGTTGTCACTAGTTTTGCTTGCTTTACTGGGGAGTGGGTCTCTGAAGTTCCTCATGTTATCATCCTGAAAGTAAAACAATGCTATTTTCTTTTTTTGGAGAGGTTTTTGCTATAGGGCGCGTGCGCTCGCCAGACTGACAGAGAGAGAGAGAGAGACAGAGAGAAAGAAAGTGAGAAATCACCCCCCCAGAGGGGATGGCCATGCTGCAATCCCTTCTCCTCCATTCTCCTCTCGGGATCTTGGACACGCACGCACACGTGCCCAGCGTGAGTTTAAGCCACCAGGTCCGGGACTCGAACCGCGGTCGACTACGTGGGAGTCCAGCGACATAGCCATTACTCTAACTGCTGGTCCCAACAAATGCTATTTTCTTGCCACAGTAACTATTGCCTAAACTGCCATTTCTTAGTTTGTAGAGTTACAGAAATGATCACTCATACTGTCAAAAATCTAACTGCATATCAAACTTGCCTGACCAAAGAGAGAAGAATGATTTCAAGTTAAACAAGTTTGTTACTACATAGTGGAATGTACTTAAAACCTCAAGTGCCCTAGACCATGCCCCATCCTGGGAGCTGCCCTCAGTTAATGGCCATCCAACAGGAGAATACATTTCCCTGGTCCCATTTCCCTGGCACAATGGCTCTGAAACATCACGTTAGTTTAAGGACACTCATATCGTAGCAACGAGAGTCAACTTCTCCTTCTGCTTCTTTCACTTCCCTGTGACCTGAAGAACACTCCCTAATAAACTGCTTTCATGTTATTTCCAATATTTCACATCTTCTAGTTTAGATAATCATAAAGATTACTTTAAGTAATAGTCTCGGAAAACCCTATGGTCATATCTAGATCATGTAACTTTAATCATCATGGGTTAATCTATAAGAAAGGCAATGCAACATAGTGATTAAAAACATTCTTTGGTGCCAGCAGTGCTTAATACCAACAATCTACGTGACCACAGTTTTGTGGTCACATAGTTAGTAAAAATAAACTACAATCAACAGTCAAACACTTGTCTAAGCAGCAGTTTTTAAAACATGGATAATACGAAAAGCATCAGGTAAGGTTGACAGTGTATCCTTAGCTTGAAAAGTTCCAAACATTGGTGAAGTATGAGATTAAACACCACTGCAACCACCACCACCACCACACACACACACACACACACACACACACACATGCATATCCAAGTTTTCTGGAATATGGGGAAGTGGATCAAATTATATCAACTGACACACTTGGGTCAGCACCAGCGGGATTATCAGATACCTGGGTAATAATAATAAAGTTAACTCTTTTGCCAACTTAAGGTGAACTGCAAATTGAATTTTAGAAGCTAACACAGTTCTATAGAGATGCACAACGTTACTTTCCCCCACAATTGAATCGAACGGAGGGATGGATTGAAGAAAGTTCACTAGTAGTGGTAATTTAGTGGGTAGAGGCCCGCACAAAGATTGAGATAAAGCGTTGCAAAGGGATCATCGGAGTGCGTTTCACTTACTAAAGTACTGTTTCATACCTATGCCCAAGTATGTGGTGTGCATGTGCACGCAGGACCTCATATTACAACGTTATTTCTTACTTTGCATCGGGGTAAAACATGTTTGACAGCCTCAGATTCTGCACCCCACTGCCAACAGCACATACCGCAGGACCGTCGGGTCCGGGTCAGAAGAGGGGCGTCCCCTGCTCTCCCATCCCGCACTTACGAAGGCATCGCTGACGACCAGCACCACGTTAGGCGCCGCAGGGGCTCCCCGCCTCCACCCCCTTGCCCCGGGGGCTGGTGCCGCCAGTGCAGAGGCTGCGACCACCGACACCCACAGCAGCAGCATCGCGAGGAGCGGTTCTGACAGCCAGAGTCCGGCTTGCCTCTTCAGTCTTTGAATCTCGTCCCGGGAGGAGGAAGGCAAAGAATGGGAACTTCTCCCAGAGCTTGCAGTCTGATTTCCATAGAAAACAAATCGTCACTGGCAGAACTACAACTCCCATCGGGCTTAGACAGCGCGCATGCGCAAAAGCGGGATCCTCGGCTTGAAATCTCCTTAAGACATTTTAATCAAGTACCGAGCGAATTTGAACCCAGGGGCTTCCAGTCACGTGAACGATGCCTGGGAAGTGCGCCTGCGCTCTCACTCCAGGCTGGGCGTTCGTAGAGCGGCATCTCTTCCAGGTGGGTTCGGGTTTGTGTAGCTTTTGCAGAAGTTGGAGACGGTGGGAGGCTGACTTGACATTTAAAGAACGGATCGGGGACCGGGGACGCTCGTTTTGCTCCGCGCAAGCGTGGCTGTGTTCCGCCAAAGAGTGAGCTGAGCGGTGATGAGGTGGCCGCGCGGCTGTCTCTTAAGTTGGAAGGGGCGGTTCCTCGAGGGGTCTCGGGTCGGTTGTCTCTGGTGCGGGTGGGATATCTCCGGGCCCCTCGGACACCTTCTCCAAGAACATTTCTGGCTCGTCTCCTCTTATTGCCTGTCTTTGCCAGTGCAGTAAGGATTTATTGTGCTCCTATGGGGTGAGGAGCAGGGCCTAGTGAGAAGTTTCAGGTTCTAGGTGGGGAAAAGCCTAGGAAGCCCTTGCCTTCGGGGTGCAGAGGACAAAAACAGAACAGGCTCTCCGAGGAAGTGTTGGGCTGCGTGACGTGTTCCATTAATTGACGTAGGTTCAGAATACCATTGTTCTGCCTCAGAATAATCACTGGTCCCTTTTGACTGTTGAACTCCTTTGGAGAGTTCTGGAAGAAGCAGATTTCTGTCCTACAGCCAAATTCTTGACTTCATTATCATAACTTTAGGGACATCATTTATATGTCACGCTAGTTATTTGAATATTATTTTTAGGAAGAGGAGTTGTACTATTGATTTAACATAAAATCGACTCTTACTGGCAGTGATTTTTTTTTTTGCATGAAATAATTGTAATAAGGGGCAGACCTTATTTTTGAAAGTATTAATATAGCACTTACTACATGGTGAATATTGTCTAAACATTTACTGAACACCTACTGTATTTCAGGTACTTGGACATGGGATATTTTTTGTAATTCTCACTTGCACCATTTGCAAATAGGAAAACAGACTTGGAGAGAATAAATCTGGACCAGGTTACCCAGAGAACCAGTCTGAACAGAAATATAAATTGAAGACTTAAGTGTCCAATTACTTGCAAAATTTTGTGACAATCTGCAGAGTTTAATCGCTGTTAGTGAAGCAGAATTCTCAATCAGGCAGCGTGTTAAAGATATACTTGCAAAAATATAAAACGTAGTCTTTGTCTACAGAGTCGACACTCTAGAGAAACAAAACTAAGTATATTATGAAATAATTCACTAGCATGAGAGGTAATACAGGTGGGCACCCCCATGGACAGGGTCTGTTTAGAAAATTTGTTCAGAGTTGGAATATAGGGCATTTTTACCATAAAAACACAACTGACTGCCAGATTCACAGAAAATACATTTTCCTTTATTTATGGCATAGTACTGATTCCATGAACTAACTACACTTAGTGTCTATGATTTTGTTTTTATAGGAAGCTAATTATCCTTGGAATTCATTTTTGGGAATACTGGTATAGATAATAAGTGTTACAAGTTCAGACTAGAGTAAGGTTTATCTGGCTGTGCGCTTGACACTTGAACGTGACCTTGAATCATGTGTAGCATGTAAGTAGACAAAAGCGACTTGTGAGCAGGCTAATGGGAGAAGCAGAGATGTACATGTCGAAAGCTCTGGGAATGAGCAGAAGACATAACATAAGCTAATATTGAAACATTAACGTGACTTGGTGGTAGGGTTTGGCAGGCTTTAGGAGATCATCAGCCATTTATTGGGTATATAAGTGCTGGGTATAGAAGGAGCTCTGAATATGTAAGGCCTGCACTTAGTGATTTGTGAAGTTGAGAGGACACACCTATACAGAACAGTGAAAAGCATCTGTTAACCTCCAGCTGAGTAGCTCATAAGAGGTTTGGAAGAGGGAATAATCTCTGTTGCAGACTTTATTCTAGTATTTCGAGGTAACTAATTTAAAGAGGGTACTTTTTTATACTTTTTTTTTCTTTTTTTAAAGTTTATTCTTTCAATGAGCGAAAGAGACAGAGAGATAGCACCCCTAAGGGGGTCTTGATGCCGAGATCCACCCCTGGCTTCAGCCAGCCCTGGATCACCAGCACAGGTATGCCTGGCCAACTGAAGGAGGTGTCCACACTCCAACCCAGAACCTTTCCATGTGGGTCAGCCACATAGAATGTTATGCTTTACTGCTGTGCTGCCTTTCACTCCCCCTCCCCCAAGGAAGTTCATGTTGGATAGTGCTGTCTTTTGACTAATAGGAAGTATCTTCAGAAAGCTCATAGAAAATGCGCATTATGAAAATATTATACATGGATCTCAAATTTTTGTGTGTGCCAAAATACACTTGCATTTTAATTCCATCTTTTCCACAGACTTTTTGAAGTTCCCTCATCTATTGATAGTAGCATGATGTAGTCAACTTTGTCAGTCCTGTCTCATCCTCTATGATTTAGAACAAGGTTCACTTTAGTATTGTTAGCTTGCGAGTTGGGAGTAAATAAATGCCCTTGATTGTTCTAGATTCTAAATAAAATAGTACAGAAATCTCTGATGTTCTTTTGTAGCTTTTTTTTTTTTTTTTTCAGTAGTTTTTTTGCCATAGGTGTGGGTGCTTACTGGAGAGAGACAGAGAGAGGGAAAGTGAGAAATCATCTCCCAGGGAGGATGGCCATACTTCAGTCCCTTCTCCATTCTCTTCTTGGGATTTTGGACACACAGGTATGCACCTGGGGTGATTTTCAAGTCTCTGGGTCCATGACTCGAATCATAGGAGTCCAGCACCTTAACCAGTATGCCACCTGCTGGACCCAGCTCAGTTCTTTCTATTGAAGTCAAGAAGGTATTTTGAGTTTCTGTTATGTATTTTAAAATCTTTCTGAAGTTTCCTTATATCACCTGAGGCCATAGGAATTCACTTTTGACCAATTTAGAACTTTGGCGATTACTTAATGTCTTTCTGGGAAAGAAAAAGACTAAAAATTGTACATAATTATTTGTGTTTTAAGTTATAAATGATAAAAATTGAATGTGGATCTGATGTGGAAAAATTCAGAAGGCTCTCGATTGTGGGTTGTGGATGTCGTCCCTTTTATGTGCCTGTGTCTTACTTGTTTTTATTTAGATGGAAAACAGATAAGGAAGAATCTGAAATTCGATTCAAAAAGACGATAGAGGTGATAAAAGATAAAGGTAAGTGTCTAGAGTGCCAAATAATAAATAACTAGTTTATCTTTACTTAACGATTTTTACTATTAATAAGTCCTTTGAGAAGAAAGGTTTAAGGCATTGATTTTTTAAAATATCAAACTGTAAGTCATCACAAAATACCTTTAGACATTAGTCATTAGATTTAAAGATATCTTTTGTTTTCTGTACTTTCATTGTTGTTGTTATTACTGTTTACTCTGATTGTTTTCGCTTTGTAGAATCTGTATATGAGCACAGTGGAATATAGCTTGAGTTTCCATGGCCTCAGCTGGGACTGTAGGACTTACGGATCTATTTCTCTGTATTTGTTCGTTTTGAAAGCTTGCATTGCCTTTTTGGTATGACTGTCACTTTCTAACTCTTTAAGTGCATTGGTTGGTACTTTTTGATTTATTGGGTTGTTGGAAAAGTCATGATGCATTTTTCTCTGTATTCTTACAGAAAAATGCATCATGACTTTTTTAGTGACCCAATATGTTGGATAGAAAACTTTTTGGTTGGTAGTAGAACAAAATGTGTGAAGTGGTGTGCTCTTATTTTAAAACATCAGTCGAGATTGAGTAGAATAAAATGGGAGGAAAGGTGTAAGGGGTATATATTAGTATTGGGGTATAGAAGAATATTAAAGACGCATGCAAGCGACTCTTCGAAGTGTAGGCAATGCTTAGACTCTAGAGAAGTATTCCAGGTGGAGGAGTGTGGGATGTCATGGAATCATTTTAGGTATTGTAAAAGCCAAAGGAGTTGACTGGCACTTAGCAGATGGCTGGCTTTCAATAACTGTTTGTTTAGAAAGTTAGTGAATGAGCCTCTCCCTTCCCCTCAGTAGAAGAAATAGTAGTACTTTTCTGGGCTTGGAAAAGGAAGATTATTTAGTCTTTTAAAAAATTAATCTCCTGGGACCAGCAGTTAGCGTAATGGATATGTCGCTGGACTCCCACGTAGTCGACCGCGGTTCGAGTCCCAGACCCGGTGGCTTAAACTCACACTGGGTGCATGTGCATGCGTGCCCAAGATCCCGAGAGGAGAATGGAGGAGAATGGAGGAGAAGGGATTGCGGCGTGGCCATCCCCCCTGGGGAGTGATTTCTCACTTTCTGTCTCGCTGTCTCTTTCTGGCAAGCGCACGCACCCTATAGCAAAAACCTCTCAAAAAAAAAAAAAAATTAATCTCCTGAGGCCTGGCCATGGTGGTGCCCGGTAGGGTGCCCTATGTGATGCTGGATCACATGGGAAGCCTCAGTTCAGATCCTGGACCAGTGTGAATGCGCTTGGACGTAGCACTGTACCTGTGATCCTGACTGGCTACAGGGTCGGGGCAGAGGGGGTCACGATGTGGTGAGACCCTGTTGGGGTACCTATCTCTCTCTCTCTCTGTATCTATCTCATGAGAAAACTTCCTGCAGTTTATATGTATGCATATATATGTCCATGTGTGTACATGCATATATGCATAAGGTAAGGGGAGGGTTGCAGTGTGAGCATATGATGCTAAACGTTGCATCAAATGAGGAAAGAATGGGAAAGAAAGAGTAGAGACTGCCCCTGTAGCATAAGGAGTTAAGTATATATGTGGTAAGAAAGGCTATTGAATATTAGAATTGGTTTCCAAGGGAAAAATGGAGTATTTTTTCTTAGCAATCTTTAAAAATAACCTATATAGAACTTTTTAGTGGCTCCCTCTTTGCTGCTCTGTTTGTGACCAAACTTGGGTGGTTTTCAAGGTCTTCTGTAATCTAGAGCCCTGCTTCATTTATTCAACTTAGTTTTGTCTTGTTCTTCAGTATATCACTCCTTTTTTCTTTTTTCTTTCCTGTATCGTGATGATTGGGAGGGGGAGAGGGTGGGACCCTTGGCAGAGTCTTCGTGCCACAGTCTTCTCACCAGCCCTGCAGCCAGCCAGGATCACTAAATCTGACACCTTTCCATCTGTTCTCCAGCATCACACAGCAGTACCTCTACTGTCTGAGTCACTGGGCTTTCAGGAAATCACATCTGACCTATTCGGTCTGATTTTCTCTTTGTTTTGTACACTAGCCACATCATTCCTGTCTCACCTTATTAATGATTGGAGTAATTTTCTTTTTTCCCTCCATTCTTAAGTCTTGTCTTCTTCATCTAGTAGCCATTAATTACATCACACTGCACACTTTTTTGTGTTGTTGTTGTTAATCTGAATTCCTACCCCATTTCCAACGACTATGGATGGATTAGTATTTGATTGCGTAATGGCTCCTGTTTTAGGTCTTGATTTAGATTATATTCTTTAGAGCAGGGACCTTTTCTTTTTCTATCTTCCTTTCTTCCTTTTTTCTTTTTTTGTTTCTTTCTTTCATCTTCTTTCTTCTTCCTTCCATTTTTCTCTCTTTATTTCTTTTTCTTTCTAATGTTACGTGCATCAAATAGCTTGGGAGCTGCATGGAGTTTCAGTGCTGGTTGGGCCTACTTTGTTCATATATGCTCCCACTTAAATTTTGGGTGATCGAAGAGATGGTGATCTTTATCAGGAAAGGTTGCAGTCTTCTCTTTGTTTTTATTATTTATTTATTTATTTATTATCTTAAAACAATTCTCATTCTTTTTAAATTGAGTATCTCTTATTTTTTTTTTTACTTCAGTGTCCCTTTTTGTCTATTTTTATTTGTCTAGATCAGTTGTCATCATCATTGATGTCCCTATTTTTTTTTTAGTCTTTTTTAGTCTGGTTTTTTTAACAAAGGAAACTGACTTGAGATAATTTACCATGAAATCAGAATTGGAATTTGTTATTTACTCCAGGCAAGATCTGTAGACCACATAAAGATTCTTCAGAATTTTTCAACCATTAGTTTACACCCAGATAATTTCAGGTAAGCTCGTACATTCTCAAATAAAAGCATTTGAAATATGTTGCTTTAAATTATATAGTTACTGTAACTAAGCATAAAATTACATTTCTGCCTGTTTAGGTAAATTGATTTTCTGTTAGCCTAACTTTTATATTATTTAGAGTGCTAACATTCTTTAAGTCAGAAACATTCTTTCTTCAATCTGTAACTTCACAGACCTCCTTGATCTTGTACTTAGGTGTCAGCCTCTTTGAATATAAAGGATTATTGGTATACCATGTTAGCGATCTATCATTTTGGTTCATTTAAAAAAAATAACTTATTAATTTTATTTATCATTATTATTTTTTAATTTGCCCAGAGAGAGATAGAAAGTGAGAAAACAAGCCATCAGGTCTGGAACTCGAACCTCACTTGGCTATGTGGTAGTCCAGTGCCTTAACCCCCACACTTCTGGTCTCCATTTTGATTAGTTTTACTGCCTTGAACATTTGAATCCATAACTACTTAATATTTATCCAACTTTGTTTTGCCTTCATGATAGAGTTGGCCCAAAATACAAATGCTGCTTTTTTTCTTTTTTTAACATTGAGTTGTTACTGAAATTGATTTATTGTAAGCCAGAATAAGTTGTGAAATCATAAACTATGCTAATGTATTTTAAATTAACTTAGTATGTTTTAACATGAAATGAAATACTTTGCTTGCCAACTGAAATATCTTTTTATGACTGAAATCCTTTTGCATATTCATTGCTTCCATTCAGGTTTAAACATTTCATTTCTTTTCAGAGAAAATAATCTACTGACTCCTTACTGTGAAGAAAGTTACTATACTGATTTACAGTTTACAGAACTAGCTTTAAAACAAAGTGCTTTCTTTCTTCTTTTTAGTTTGCTTTAGGGTGTATATGCTCACCAGAGAGAGAGAGAAAGTGAGCAATCCCTTTTCCTCCTTTCTCCCCTAGGGATTTCGGGCACACAGACCTGCCTGACATGTTGTATAAGCTGCCGGTCCTGCCTTAAACTCCATGCCACCTGCTGGCCTCAAAAAATGCTTTCTTAAACTCTTCCATCATAGTTGCTGAAACTGTTCACATTTTACTCTGTGACATGGATCTTGCTTACTATAAATTTGGATTGACATTGGTATATGTTTTGAGTGCTAGTCCATAAGATCATCTGTATTTTTAGACAAACATTTGGAGACTGAGTATAATTCGGTTTTTTTTTTTTTAAGAGATTTTTTTTGCTATAGGGTATGTGTGCTCTCCGGAGAGACAGACAGAAAGCAAGAAATCACTCCCTCGGGGGATGGCCATGCCACAGTTCCTTCTTCTCATCTCTACTCTCTGGATTTTGCGCATGCACACATACATGCCAGGCGTGAGTTTTAAGCTGCTGGATCTGTGACTCGAACTGTTGTCATCCATGTGGGAGTCTAGTGACGTAGCCAGTATACCATCTACTGGTCCCAAGAGACTGAGTATAATTTAAATATGATTTAATTTGAATGCATATTTATTGATCATCTGTAATTTGCAGATACTTGGTCCTGGGGATGACGCAGTAAAAGAAAATGACAAAAATAACTGCCTTCATAGATCTTATGTTTTGATGGGATTGGGAGGCAGAACACAAATACAAATAAATATACTACAGAGTATTAGATGTGATACATGCTTGAAGAAAAATAAAACAGAGAGGTGGTAAAGGAATATTATTGGTTGGTTGAGAGTAGGGCAGTGAGGGACCAGCAGTTGGGGTAATGGCTATGTCGCTGGACTCCCATGTAGCCGACCACAGTTTGAGTCCCAGACTCGGTGGCACGTGTGTGTGTGCGTGCCCAAGATCCTGAGAGGAGAATGGAGGAGAAGGGATTGCGGCGTAGCCATTCCCTTGGGGGGGTGAGTGATTTCTCACTAACTCTCTCTCTCTCTTTCTGGCAAGCGTACACACCCTGTAGCAAAAACTTCTCCCCCCACTCCAAAAAAAAAAAAAAAAAAAAGTAGGGCAATGGAAGGATTATATTTTTAAACAATAGGTCCAGGGAAAGTTCCATTGAGTAAGTGACATATGAGTAAAAATCTGAGAATGAATAAGCTTTGCAAATATTAGGGAGAAGACTCTTCCAGTTAGAAAGAATCACAGGTACCTTTTCAGATGGTTCAGTCTGTTGAAACACTTATAATTATGTAGGTATTATTGTAGATTCACTCAGGCTTTTTTCGCATTGACAGAATGTCCAGCAAGGAAGTGAAGACTGCTCTAAAAAGTGCTAGAGATGCAATCAGAAACAAAGAGTACAAAGAAGCCTTGAAACATTGTAAGGTAACCAATGTGTTTTCTTCCACAATAAAAACATGTTACCCATTTATACACATTATTGATTTGTACTGTGTGAGTTATTTTACTGTCCACGTACAGTAAGAATAGTAGGACATTCGTAGAACCATCAGTGTTTGGACTAATAACCTCCAGTTAGTAGGATGAACTACTTCTACCACACTTAATTTTTGCATTTCTCTATATTGTAACTTATCAAAGCCAGATTCTTAAAACCTGAGTATATCACAATTATCTTTGGATGGTTTGTATTATAAAATGCTACTGTTTCTTAAAGTAGTCATTTTTAATGGTATGTTGACGTTCTATTTGGTTTGGGGTGGAGAATCAAGATTTTAACATTGTTTTGTATGCTGTGGGGAATATTCCCATTCAGAGGGAGCACTTGAATGTGCAGGAGAGAGGATAATAGTAGGGGTGGTATTTATGGGGAGGTGAGAAGATGATATCCAGAGCTTCAGAGGCAGGACCTTTCACCCTTCCTCTATCCTAGCAGAGAAGAGATAGGGGCAGGTCCATGGAGTATTGAGTTTGTAGATTTGGATGGGAAAACAAGAGCATTTCTCTCGTTAGCTTCTATGTTCTTAGAGAAGTGTAAGCTGAGAGTGGAAAGAGAACCTTTAAGAAGAGTTTTGGGGCAAAAGGAAGGTTGAAGTAGTTGTTATTCTTAGTGGGAACACAGCTCTACCAGGAAGGATTGGAAAGCTTACCAGGCCCTAGTGAGTGCCCATTGAACGTTTCATATTATTAAAGTAAAATCAGTGAACTCAGTGCAGTATTCTCCCTTTATACTCAGCTTCTTAGATTGAGAAATGGGGTTCAACTGCGGTTGGTGAGAAAGATGAAAGAGAGAGACTGTACGGATAAGAAAGGTGACAGTGATGGGACGTGGAGTCCATACTGGGCAGGGAAGGTGAGAAGCTGGATGATACCGAGAGTAGAGGATGCCCTTGTGTGGTAACTATGTTTGGAGAGCCCAATCTGAGAAAACATGGTGTGCCCTTTAGACACTTCCATAAGCTTCATTAGCAATGGCTGTGAGAGCATTTCCATACAAAATGCTATCTGCCTGTGATGGTTGGTTATCTTCCTGTTGCTCTGATACCCAGTACCCCATACTGCAGGGCAGTGTGAGGCCAGAGGAAGCTACATGTGTTTATCAGAGAGATGAGGTAATCCCTGAAACGCCTCACTCAAAACTTTCTCTTGCTTTATATACTTTGAATTTTTAAAATTCCATGTCAGGGGCCTCATGGCTACAAAAATCCACTATCAAGAGATAGAAAGGGCTAAACCTCAATATGCAATATGCAGAGAGACAGAAAGCAAAACAGAAAGTGAGAAATTCCCCCCCCCCCAGGGGTATGGCCAAATTTCCAAAATTTAACAATCTACTCTTTCAATTCTTTTAATCAGACGGTGTTAAAACAAGAGAAAAATAACTACAATGCCTGGGTTTTCATCGGTGTTGCTGCAGCTGAGCTAGAACAACCTGATCAGGCCCAGGGCGCCTATAAGAAAGCTGCCGAATTGGAGCCAGACCAGTTGCTGGCTTGGCAGGTATGGAGACCTTTTTTCTTATATTACGGGAAAAGATTTTTGTTTGCACTTTTTAAAGTATGGGTAATAGTGTTAAAATAAGCATTTAAACCTTTAAACCTCCATTTGTTCTGTTTAAGAAAAAAATATAAATACTGGTTTTCCAAACCTTAAAATTACCTAAAAAAAAAAAAGTTGTGCCGCTATGTAACATCTTTCCAAATGGGTTATTTCTAAATGTGAGGACTTAGGTATGAACATGCTTATATAAATCTCTAATGTAATTATATGTCCACGTGAAAGACTTGTCTATACTTTTCTTCTTTTTTTTTTTTTTTTTGGAGAGGTTTTTGCTATAGGGCGCGTGCGCTCGCCAGACAGACAGAGAGAGACAGAGAGATAGAAAGCAGGAAATCACCCCCCAGGGGGGATGGCCACACCGCAATCCCTTCTCCTCCATTCTCCTCTCGGGATCTTGGGCACGCACACACACGCGCCTGGCGTGAGTTTAAGCCACCGGGTCCGGGACTCGAACCGCGGTCGACTACGTGGGAGTCCAGCGACATAGCCATTACGCTAACTGCTGGTCCCTATACTTTTCTTCTTTATGCCTACCTTAGGAAAAAGTAATGCACATTGATGTATTTTTTGAAAATAAAACATAAAAATTTGCAATTCTGTGTCTTTGAGTAGAGGTTACATTCTTTTTTTTTTTTTTAAGTGATCTTAATGTGATTTAATTGGATGCTGCAATTTTTTTTCACATTTAATACTTGTAACTTGTTTCATATCTTAGTTACATTTTTGAGACTGACTAATAGGAAGTAGTAGACTTTGGGGAGTGTGAACCTGTTTGTCACATGAATAAGAACGTGAAGGAGGGTATCTGGTGATGCACTTAGAGAAGTTGCTGCTTTTATAATATATTGATTGATTTAGGATGTCTATTTTTTCTTTTTTTTTTTTTTTTTTTTTTTTTTTTTTTTTGGATTTTTTCAAGCTATAGGGCGCGTGCGCTCGCCAGACAGACAGAGAGAGACATAGAGACAGAAAGCGAGAAATCACCCCCCAGGGGGGATGGTCACGCCGCAATCGCTTCTCCTCCATTCTCCTCTCGGGATCTTGGGCACGCACGCACACGCGCCCGGCGTGAGTTTTAAGCCACCGGGTCCGGGACACGAACCGCGGTCGACTACGTGGGAGTCCAGCGACATAGCCATTACGCTAACTGCTGGTTCCCGGGATGTCTATTTTTTGTTTGAAGCGAAAGCGGTAGTTTCTCCACACTACTCGAATTTTTTTTTGTTTGATCATATCGTAAAGTAGTATCATTTATAGTAGATAGTAAATGAAATTTTCTTGCTATGCGTGCGTGTGCAAGGGTAACTATTAAAGGTAATGGGTATGTTAATTAGCTTGATGGTTGTGATCATCTCACAGTGTATATATCAAAACATCAAGTTGTACACCTTACACATATACAATGTTTACAAATCAGTGATAATAAATCTGTTCAAAAAGGCATTCTGAAAAATTTTTCAAAGTAGTGTCACATGGTCATATCTTAGAATAATCATTAGAAAATGTTTATTTAAGTTTATTAATTTATTCCATAAGTGAGAGACCTAGATACAGTACTTAACCACAATCCACCCCCAGTCTCAGCCTGGAGTATGAGTACAATCATGCCTGGTGAACTCAGGGAGGTCTTTGGACTTGAACTGGCAACCTTCCCTTATGGCTCTGTTTTACAGAGTGTTGCATTTTGCTTCTGTGCCACTGTCTGGTCCCTAAACATTGTTTGTTGTTGTGAAGCACTTTAAATGTATTTTCAGTAATTAAGAGAATGGTATGATGAAACCCTTTATGCCCATCACCTAGATGTATCAAAAATCCACCCGCAGCCATTATTTTTTACCTGTAATTTTACCTACTCCACCTACTCTTAATTATTTGGAAGCAAATTCTAGACATACCAGTTTGTCTGTAAATTATAGTAATCTTTTATAATAAATCATCTTTATAGATTATTTAGCAAAGTAAATGAATGTGGGAACATCACATGTTTTTGTGTCACCATTGGTGCTTTGTCTTTTTAGGGTTTAGCAAGCTTGTATGAAAAATGTAATCACATAAATGCTAAGGATGACTTACCTGGTGTTTACCGAAAGCTCCTGGATCTTTATGAAAGGTAATGAATATATGGGAAAAGGCCAGTTTTGTTAAAAGCATACATTAGAATAAACTGACAAAAAGTTATATAGAAGTAGAAGTACTCCAAATATTTGCTGGGAATTGAGAACCATTTTTCTTTCAAACACTTATCATGGGCTTTCTTGATTTTGATTGAAACAGAATCAAAACACTACTGAATAAAGGTTCGACTCATTTTAGAACTTCAATAACACTTTCAGTTAAAGTGATGTATACAGTATTCCTCACATTTTGTTTTTAAGAAAGATTTTTGCTATGGGATACATGCACTTGCTGGAGAGACAGAGAGACAGAAAGTGAGAAATCACTCCTCAGGAGGGATGGCCACATGCAGTCCTTTCTTTTCAATTCTCCTGTCGGGATTTTGGGCACACATGCACACACACACACACACACACACACACACATGCCTGGCATTAGTTTCAAGCCGCCAGCCAGGTCTGGGACTCAAACTGTGATTGAGAATGTGGGAGGCCAGTGACGTAACCTTTGTGCCATCTACTGGTCCCTAAATTTATTTTAATAAGAGGATCATTATATTAAATTTTAATATAATAGTGTGGAAGATGATATGTTTTAATTTTAAATAGTACCTAATAATATTACTGGGATATTTTAATTTTAATGTTCTAAGTTCTTACTTTCTTTAATCAAGTACAAAATCCCCCCCTTTTTTTTTTGGTTGTTTTTCTAAGTGTTGACAAACAGAAATGGTGTGATGTCTGCAAGAAACTTGTGGATCTGTATTACCAAGAAAAGAAACACCTAGAGGTTGGTTAATGCTTTTCTGGAGTCCTAGATTTCTTATAATCATTTATGGGAAGAAATGTTTCATTTAGCTTAAAGAAAATGAAAAACTAGTATGGTAGGTTATTTGAAGAAATGAAGGGATAGTACAGATCACGGTGCTTTTAAACTGTGAGAATTCAGATTTAAGGTATCATAACTTCTAAACCTTTTTGAAAGTAGGCAGGGTGTGAACTAAATAAGTAGATGCATCATCTGTGGAGTGGGGGGTCCTGTTTGTGGCATCTCACAGCTGATGCGCTCAGTTGTAGTGACTGGGCCATGCAGTCACTCCTGAGTCTGCCCTGCTTTCTCAGTTATTTGTCTGATGCAAAAGCTATGTGGATTGTCTGATCACCTTATTTTTTATGGAGTACTTAATAGATGGGGTTCAGTGTTTTTGTTACTTTTATCTATTGACAGGTAAAAATATTTATTTTTGAAAAGTTGACTATTTTTTCATGTTAAATTATTTAAACTGATATATTAAAGTAAGTCTTTTTTAAAAAAGAATTATTCATTTTTAAAATTTATTATTATTATTATTATTATTTTAATTTGACCAAGAATGTGGGAGGCCAGTGACGTAACCTTTGTGCCATCTACTGGTCCCTAAATTTATTTTAATAAGAGGATCATTATATTAAATTTTAATATAATAGTGTGGAAGATGATATGTTTTAATTTTAAATAGTACCTAATAATATTACTGGGATATTTTAATTTTAATGTTCTAAGTTCTTACTTTCTTTAATCAAGTACAAAATCCCCCCCTTTTTTTTTTGGTTGTTTTTCTAAGTGTTGACAAACAGAAATGGTGTGATGTCTGCAAGAAACTTGTGGATCTGTATTACCAAGAAAAGAAACACCTAGAGGTTGGTTAATGCTTTTCTGGAGTCCTAGATTTCTTATAATCATTTATGGGAAGAAATGTTTCATTTAGCTTAAAGAAAATGAAAAACTAGTATGGTAGGTTATTTGAAGAAATGAAGGGATAGTACAGATCACGGTGCTTTTAAACTGTGAGAATTCAGATTTAAGGTATCATAACTTCTAAACCTTTTTGAAAGTAGGCAGGGTGTGAACTAAATAAGTAGATGCATCATCTGTGGAGTGGGGGGTCCTGTTTGTGGCATCTCACAGCTGATGCGCTCAGTTGTAGTGACTGGGCCATGCAGTCACTCCTGAGTCTGCCCTGCTTTCTCAGTTATTTGTCTGATGCAAAAGCTATGTGGATTGTCTGATCACCTTATTTTTTATGGAGTACTTAATAGATGGGGTTCAGTGTTTTTGTTACTTTTATCTATTGACAGGTAAAAATATTTATTTTTGAAAAGTTGACTATTTTTTCATGTTAAATTATTTAAACTGATATATTAAAGTAAGTCTTTTTTAAAAAAGAATTATTCATTTTTAAAATTTATTATTATTATTATTATTATTTTAATTTGACCAGAGAGAGACAGAAAGAGAGAGGGAGAGAGGGAAAGTGTGAAAGCAAGCTGCCAGGTCTGGTACTTGAACTGTGTCTGACTGTGTGAGAGTTTAGTGCCATAATCAACCTGCCACCTGCTAGCCCCTGATTTATTGAAGCTACAATAACCGTTTTACATCTCCTTTTCAATAGGTGGCTCGGTCATGGCATAAATTAATAAGGACACGGCAGGAAGAAGGTGCAGACAATGAAGAGCTTTGCCAGCTCTGGAGGAAATTGACTCAGCTGTTGGCTGAGAGTACCGAGGATCAGAATAATGAAACCCAGCAGTTGGTATGGACTCAGTTATCTCTCAGTCTGTATAATGAAAATTGATCATTTAATTGAATTTGGGAAATGGAAGCATAATAACATTATGTAGAAAAATACTCTATGTCAGACTAGATACATTGTCAGTATACTTATTTTAATTCATAGAAGCTTTTTATACTGTTAGAATTATGGGCCCACAGTCTCATATGAAGTCTAGATAGGGTAGGATTAGTACTCAGGGTATTAAGATTTCATTCCTCATCTAAATATATGAGAATCCAAAATAAATCAGCTTAATCATTATAAGAGAGAAATGAATTTTCTGGCTTTCACAAACTGCTATAATTTCTAAAAAGTTATACCTTGATGGGTACCTTGAACTAAGAGTGCTGAATTACTTTGCAGTTTAGCAGTTCAACTAAATTTATTAGAGTATTTAGGATTTTAGAGTATGTATCTAGAAAATAGTTCTTTTTAGTATACAGATGTTAAAGTAATTGAATTTTTAAAAAACTAAAAAACACTGGTTTTGAGCCACAATTGGAAAGTATCTCTACCTTCTTTTTTTATGTACAAGTTTGAAAGTCAGTTTCCTAAAATACGTAGCCACTCAATGTACACTTGTTAATTGAATGGTATTTTAAAATACCCTAAGCACTTATGGACACTATAGGATGGGAAATTCATCTTGGTTTGTTCATATGTTCACTCATTAATTCATTCCTTTATTCAGAAAATACTGGGTTGTCAGGGCTGGCAGGTGGTGTGGTGGTTAAGGGCACTGGACTTCCATATGGACGACTGTGGTTGAGGTGCTGGACCTGGTGGCTTACTTTCTCACTTTCCCTCTCTCTCTCACTCTGTGTCTGGTCAAATTTAAATAAATAAATAAATGTTAAATAAAACAATTAAAAAAAGAAAATAATGGGTTGTCAGAAAAGTCATGATGTAAAGTGCTTGGATTCTAGTATTGCTATTCTTTTTTTTAAAGAATTATTTTATTATTTTATTAGTCTTTATATTTATATTATATATATATATACACACACACACATATTTATTTGACCAGAGAGAGAGAAAGAGAGGGCAAATGAGAAAGCAAGCAAGCCACCAGGTCTGGGACTTGAACCGTGTTCAGCCATGTGGGAGTCCAGCACTATTAACCACAGTGTCGCCTGCCAGCCTCCTAGTATTGCTATTCTTCAGACTTATTTAGAAGGCCTCTTTTGGAATTTTCTTCAGAGTTAGTGAATACTGTATTAGAGAAGTGATTTCATTATAGTTCAATCATATCTTTTTCCTTTTTTTACCTAAAGTATAACTCAACGTTATCATTTATTCATTATTTATTTTTAGGAGTTTATGCCTTAGGGCATGTGTACTTGTTGGGAGGAGGGAAAGAGAGAGACTGAGAGACAGAGATAATGAGAGGGAAAGTGAGAAATCATCCCCACAAGGGTAATAACCAACCATACTACTGTCTCCTCCTGGGATCTTGGGCATGCATGTACACATACTTGGCATGATTTTCAAGTCACCAGGTCCAGGACTTGAACTGTAGTCAGCCATGTGGAAGTCCAACACGTAACAGCTGTGCCATCTGCTGGCCCCATTAAAATTTTTTTAAAGGTTGAAAATTAGCTGTCATTGAAGATGCTCCAAATAATGTACTAGTGATTTCAGAAGAGCTATTCAAATATGATGTGAGCAGCAGTACCTAGACTAACTAGCACATCACACTATGCTCTGGTTGACTACTTTATAGGAGACAGCAGGCACTTAGAAAAATAATTTGTTAAATTAAGTTGTTAATTTATAGTTATTATGTGTTAATGCAGTACAGTCTGTGGCCAGATGGAGTTTGAATGTACTCCAGAACCTATATAGACATTTTTTCCTCATTGAAATTGTCAGGATCAGACAATAAAATAATTTGCAGCTAGTTGAAGGATTACTTTGTTTAAGAATTTTATACATTCAGTGATTTATCACATTTGTCATTTAAGTATGCTTATGTGATAGCTTTGTTTATTCGTTTCAGCTTTTAACTGCATTTGAGAATGCTCTGGACTTGACAGATAAAATTCCTAGTGAAGATCACCAACTACTTTATAGGCAGTTCATTCAGTGTTTATCCAAAGTAAGTTGATTTTACAAATCTCTAATGGCACTTTTTTTTCTGAGTATGAAACTGTTCACAAATACATTTTACTACTGCTAGAATTCAGTTTATCTTGCTTTTATATTTTCAAGTTTCCTCATGAGACTGCTAGGTTGAAGAAGGCCTGTGAAGGGATGATAAACCTGTATCCCACTGTACAGTACCCATTGGAAGTGCTTTGTTTGCATTTAATTGAATCAGGTAATTTCTTTTTGGTTATATTTTGTGTTCTAGAGGTGTGTGATTGTGTGGGAGTGATGTTGCTATCGATTAAAAATGTTGTAGTGCCTACCATGTGTAAGGTGTTTCGACACTGATAGACACGAAAGGAAGTACTATGTGTAGTCTTTGTGCACACAGAAAGGCTAGTATAGTAAGTATGGGGATATACAGTGATACAGAGAAGTCTTGAGTGACAGAGTTCCTTATTGTCCCGGGAAGTCTTTTTGATGGTGAGAATTGAAGGGGGTCTTGAATTTTCTGCAGGTATTAGGTAAACAGGAGAGAGTGAATTCAGGTACTCCAGATGACATGATGAGAGCTGTGGAGTAGGGTGCATTTTTTAGGAACAGTAAGATAGGTTGGTTTGCTAGAGTTGAAGAATAATTATTTTGCCATATTTATATTGGGTCATCAGAAAAGTCATGACGTATTTTTTTCTCCGTCTTTCTGTGTAAAATGTGTCATGACTTTTTCAACAACCCAATATTGTGGCTAAATATCGAATAGTTTGGACAGTATTACATAGGGCTATCTATTCTGAAGGTCACAGAAAGGAAAAGATTGACCTTGATGTTGATGTCATGTCATAGTGTCAAGTACACTGTCATGAATACTGTAATATTGCCAAGTAATGAAGTTTGTGAATGAAATTTGTGAATGACTTTTTAAATCAAGTAGAGTAGATTCAAGTTGGAGAATGTATCTTTATGTACTTCATGCTCTTGCATCTTCGTGAACTTTCTTTAGGGAAGAGAGAAAAAGTAATGACAGCTAGCTTGTAGAGGAGTTGGCAAAACCTGTAGCTGGGGATGTCTTGTGCCCCAGACTGGTATTGACAGTTTGTAAGAGGTTGGTCATGTTGCTTTTTCACACCAGCCTCTGTTCTTGTCAGTATCATGCTGAACAGATATTTGTTTTAAAAATAATTCGAATATTATCCTTGTCAATGCTTGTACTCACCTGAAGTGAATAAGTTCATAAAAGGCAGTCGTTGAAATAGAAATAAGAGTGCCTGCACTAGTTTGGTAGTGTTTGTACATTACCACGTGGAAGTACCCACCTATCCAACTCCTCTTTGCTGTGAGATAGACCTCCCTTTTGCTCAGTTTTGCAAAGTGCCTGTCCATAAACTCTTTTTCTTGATTTAAACCAACACATCTCTTGATCAATCAGCATACTCCCTTCACTGTCCTTTTATTATACTAGAGCACTTTGTCAGCTACTGAATTTAAGTGCAAAATTCTACAGATTATTTGTTGATCCTATTTTCTCTAATATTTTGTAAGCCTTTCAGAATATAAGAGCAATGTTTACTTAATAAATCTGCATTATAGGCATATTTATATTTATTGAGGAAGCATTCCACTCTCAAACGAAATTTTACTATCCATTTCATTTTTTTCGAGACTTGCAAAAATGAGTGTATATATGGGAATGCTTTCTATGTGAAAGACCTTCACATGTGTCATTGTAGAAAAATGGATGAAAAACTATTGTTAGCTATAACTGTGAGGAAAAATTACTGGTAGAAAATAATTATTGCACCTGTTTTGGTTCTTCTCACTTTAACTCTTCTTTATAAGTCCAATTAACATATTTTTTCCCCCTGAGGTCTTGGATTTTTTGGTGAGAAGTAAACAGATCCTCTTATTACTTTAACTGAGTCAGAGATATACTTGCAAAAGTACTTTCCACTCCCACGAGTAAATAAAACATAGAAAGTGTCATAGTGAGTCAGTTTATGAAGTGAGAGTCTTTAAGCAAACTTGACGTGAAAGGTTTTATAGTAGACTAGATCAGGTAGATAAAGTGATACAGAAATGAATGAACTAAGGTGATGGTAGTGCTGAGAGAAAGGGACAGATGAATGCAAAAAATGAAAGTGATTTCTTAGAGGGAAAAGAAGGGAAAGTTCAGTTTTAACTTTTGGCTTTTCTGAAATGTTGTTCCATTAAGGAAGATGGTTTGTATGAAAGGTAAGTCGTTGAGAGTGGATATTAATGGGTAGGCAACAGGAAGTGTCCATTCATGGTTGGAGATGAGAACTGAGTGCTGAGTGTAGATACATGATTTAGAAGTTATCAGAACACAGGTGACAGTGAAATGGAGTGGGTGACATCTGAGGACTGTGGGGCAAAAGGCTGAGAACTATACCTTGGGCAATGCTGGCTCATCTGAAGGGAAAGGAAGGAAGAGAAGCAGGAAGTGGAAGAAGAGAGGTCATCATAGAGGAAAGGAAAGAGCATTTCAGAATAGAGATTATTACAGTCTGTCCTGACAGATTGAGCAATTTTATGATTGGGGGCTTTTATTAAGGCTATCTTTTAAATGTTTGTTTGTTTATTTTAGGATTTTACCATAGTGCATGTGTGTGTGCTGGAGAGACAGAGACAGAGAGAGGGAAAGCGAAAAATCACCTCCCAGGGGGATGGACATACCACAGTCCCTTCTCCTCCATTCTTCTCTCAGAATTTTGGGTATGCATGTATATGTGCCCAGTGCCCAAGCTGCTGGGTCCAGGACTTGAACCATAGTGGGCTATGTGGGAGTCCAGCACCTTAACCACCATACCACCTGCTGGCCCAAGATTATCTTTTTAAATCAAAGTGATTGAATTGAGAATTGTATTACAGTGATGGGGAAAGAATAGAAAAAAGTGGTAGCAGGTATAAAAAGAAAAGTCATGCAGGGACTTGACTTCATTTAAGGAAGGGGAGGAAGAAATGAAGTATGGGGAGATCCGAAGCTTTCACAGGGTAGGAGAAGAAATGCAGTAGTGCCGCTCGTCAGGAGGGTTTCAAGAAGAAAGGACTGGTTCACATCGTGAATGTCTGAACGTCTTATGGGAGCCAAGGATAATGAAGTGCACGAGGAGTCTTTCAACACAGAGTTTTTGTATTTTTCTCTGACAGGAAGTTAGTTCCCAAGTCACCCAGTTTCTTCCTATTTTTTTTTAATATTTTTTATTTCATTTTCTTTTATACATTCAATCACGTTATTTAGCTTACAGAGTGAATATTTCAACGTGAACAGTTGATAAAACTATACAGTTATCCTCAACAGAGGATGTCTTTGTCCCATTAATGCTTTGCCTCTCTCTTTTTCTTCTGAATGTCATTCACCAGACTCTACTCTTTCACACACACTATATCTGGTATTTCCATCCATTTACTGTGTTTTTATATCCGTTAGTCAATCAGTTTCTTCCTATTTTAACAGAAGACCCAATGTGTTTCAAAGATAAATGGCCCGATTTTATTATATGGCCTCTGGGATCCATCCCTTCCACCTTTCCCGCTGCTACAATTGCTACAGAGAAACGAGCAGTACTTTTTTCTCTCTCATTTCAGTTAGGAATGAATGGTTTCTACCATTTCCTCATTCTTGGCCTGCTGACATGCCACATGGCACAAGTGAATACTTTGTAATTTCTTTTTGAGGACCAAATGCTTTCTCAGTAAACATAAATATGCCTGTAATACAGATTATTAAGTAAACGTTGCCCTTCTGTTCCAAAAGGCTTCCAAAATACTAGAGGAAATGGGATCAACAAATACTTTGTAGAGATTGCACATATTCAGTAGCTGACAAAGTTCTCTAATAAAGAGATGGGGTGAAGAGATTATGCTGATTGATTAGGAAATGTGTCGGTTTAAATGAAAAATAATTCTCGGAGAGGACTGGAAATGGGTATTTGCAGAACTGAAAGTAAAGGAGGCCTGTCGCTGGCAAAGAGGAGTGGATAGGTAGGTATTTCAACATAGTAAAACCAAGGGAGAGTCTGTCCCTTCTCAATTGTTGGTTACGAGAATTTACAGAATTAACCAGTTCTGGTTTAAGTATATGCCAAGGTAGAGCATCATTCTGGGGTGGAAATTTAATAGTTAATGCAGGGCTGTAGGAAGCTAAGATGAATCATTTCTTGCTTTTTTTCATTGCTCCTCTAAGCCAAATTTTCTGTGTATTAAGAACTGAAAATCTGTAACATCTCCAAAGGTGGACCCTCCCCCCCAAAACTACTTCAGTATCTGCAGAATTTGCTACTGCACAGAAGTTAATAACTGAGTTCTCATCCACCCAGAACAAATAGATTTCATTCTTCTTTATCCTGCTCTGCATGTTGAGACTCGAATATTCATTTTCAAAATGACTCAGTCTGTAAAGCTTTGCATAACAAGTAATGAATAGCTTTCACAGTTGTCATCTCTTAAAGTGTTTTTTTCACACTCAATGACCTTTTGATTTATTTTGTTTTGCTTTGTTGTTCAAGTGGGGGAGGATAAGAAAGCTTGGTTCTTCAAATTCAGGCAGAAAGAGCTTCTTTAGGATTTTGTGCTCTAAAAATATTAGAAAATCCAAATGAAAATAAATAAATGAAAGCCATCAAACTGTATATGTTTCATTCCTTCCTAAGCTAGGCTTATTTAAAAGACAAATTCTATAGTATTGATCAGTTTCTTCAGGATACCAGAAACTAATTAGTTATTTTTTAAAAACTTGCCTCTTTAGGGAGCCAGGAGATAGTGTAGTGGTTAAGGCACTGGACTCCCACTGACTGTGATTTGAGTCCTGGACCAGGAGACTTGAAACTCATGCCAGGCATGTGGGTGTGTGTACCCAAAATCCTGAGAGGAGAAGGGATTGTGGCATGACCACCCCCCAGGGGGGTGATTTCACACTTTCTGTCTGTCTTTGTCTCTCCAGGGAGTGCATGCACCCTATAGCAAAAATCTCTCTTTAAAAAAAAAGGGGAGGGGGAGCAGCAGATGGCTTAATGGTTATGTCCCTGGCTCCCCTATAGCGACTGCAGTTTGAGTCCTGGACCCGGTGGCTGGGAACTCATGCTAGGCCTGTGTACGTGCATGCAGGTGTACGCAAAGTCCTGAGAGGAGAATGGAGGAGAAGGGATTGTGACATGGCCGTACCCTCTGGGGGTGTTTTCTTGCTTTCTGTCTCTCTGTTTCCCCAGTGAGCACATGCCTCTTACAGCAAAAATCTCTCTAAAAAACAAACAACCTCCCCCAATGTTGCTCCTTTTAAAAAGTTATTTGTAATAAGCTTTAAGAAACAGAATTCTATAGATATTATTGACTGTCAAACCTAGACCTCTTCAGAAAATCCTTTACCCTTTGAGTTTTAGTATTCATTAGCTTCAAATTTAGCTTGCCTGTTTGAGAAGTAAAAATAATATTGCCAAACTTTCTGTGATTGAAACAGTGGTTTACAACATGCTTATAATGTGAACCAGTAAATATGTGAACAACTACAAATAATTTATCTGAGAAAAACTGATGCATTCATATTTATATAAAAATATATGCCCAAATTACATGTTGAACCATTATCTCAGTCACACATGTCAAAGATAAATTGTTTTATTATTATTTTTTTAAAGAGAGATTTTTGCTATAGGATGCTTACACTCACCAGAAACAGAGAGACAGAGACAGAGAGACACAAAGGGAGAAATCACCCCCCTGAGGGATTGCCATGCTGTAATCCATTCTCCTCTATAAATTTTGGACAATCAGGGACCAGCACTTAGCGTAATGGCTATGTTGCTGGACTCCCATGTAGTTGACCGCGGTTCAAGTCCCGGTGGCTTAAACTCACGCCGGACTTGTGTACGTACCCAAGAAACCGAGAGGAGAAAGGAGGAGTTTTGGACAATCATACACACTCCTGGCATGAGTTTTAAGCTGCCAGGTCTAGGACTTGAACTGCAGTCAACCTTGTGGGAGTCCAGTGATGTAACCATTATACCATCTGCGGGCCTAAGGTAAATTCTTTGCATATTATCTGTAGGCTATGAATTTTTGTTTTCCAAAACCAGATGCACACCAGTGACCTTCCTCTTTTCATCACAGATATGTTTTCTATAGTGAGGGCAGCTCGTTAGTCAAGGGACTCTGCCTTGAATTGCGTTTTTAAGGAATTAAGAGTTTGGGGCAGAGATGGGAGATAAAATTCTAGTAGCCATTTTCCCTCTTTTTTAGGATGGTGAAGATGAAATTTTCTGTAGTAATTTCAGTCATTACCTATTAACAGACTAACCCCCCAACCCCCCCTTTTTAAGAGGTTTTTGCTATAGGGCGCGTGCGCTCGCCAGACAGAGAGAGGCAGAGAGAAAGAAAGCGAGAAATCACCCCCAGGGGGGATGGCCATGCTGCAATCCCTTCTCCTCCATTCTCCTCTCGGGATCTTGGGCATGCACGCACATGTGTCTGGCGTGAGTTTAAGCCACCGGGTCTGGGACGTGAACCGCGATCGACTATGTGGGAATCCAGCAACATAGCCATTACGCTAACTGCTGGTTCCAACAAACTAAATCCTTTTAAATATCAATTCATGTTATTTATTGTTTATTTCTTTTTCTTATGATAGAGTGTACACACAGACACGAGAGGGAGGGAAAGTCGAGCAGCTTCCATAGTGTCTGCTCATGCCACAATCCCCGTTCTCCTGTCGTCCAGCCTGTTGGATCTTGGGCGCTAGTGTGTGTGCCCAGCATGTTTCAGGCTGACAGGGTTGGGGATTTGAACCGTGGTTGTCGTATGGGATCTGGCTTCCCTTGATAGTGTATTACCATTGCACTATGCGGCCAGCCTTCATGACATTATGTTTAAAGGTTCATCGTAATATTTAGTAAATGTATAAAATGTCTTGCTAGTGTCTACTCTCTTAAGTTATCATTTTGCTACAGAGGCAACAGAGGCAGGGTGTTTATGTTAAAGTCTAGTATACACCCATCATTCATGAAGTTTCATTTCTGGACCTCTAGTGTAAGCATCATCGAAGAACGTGTTAGAAATGTGTATTCTCAGCTCTCACACCAGATGACCAGAATCAGAAACCTTAGGAGTGTGATTCAGCGTACTGTTTTACTTTGTCCTCCACGTGATTTTGGTGCCTTGGGTAGTTATTGTCTAGTTTAGATAATACCATTAGGGAGATCAAAGGCCTCTGGCTTGCTTGGGAGGAGACAGAGTGTATGGAACTAGGGCATAATCTATTCATGGTATTTGTATTTATGGAAGCAATAGTGAGAACCTATTGACAGAAGGAAATTCATGCCTGGAAGCATTAGAGAAGCAAGCTTGTATCTTTTTTGCTGGCTTACCAATCAAAGTAGTATTTCTTCCAATTTGTTTTCATATTTTGCCAAACAGTGGTGAAGTTTTAAGTTTCTTTAGCTGTTATGAATTCTTATTTTTGTACTAATTTGGATTTCTAAGTCAGTGTATAACATTATTTACAGATTTTGCATTAGTGTGCATCTGGCTTTAAAAAATCTGAAATACATAGCTAAAAGATAATATGCACATAATTTACCTTTGACATCTGTGACTGAAACAGTGGTTCAACATGTAACTTGGTATATTTTATATGAATATTAATGCACCACTTTTTTTCAAATTATTTTTAGTTCCCATATTTACTGCTTCAAGTTGTAAACCATCTTAATGATATTTTAAGAATTTTTCTATGTGATTAAACAATTTGTTAAAGTGGTAAAAGCTATTCAGTTTATTCTGAAAACCAAAATCACATTTTCCATTTGTTGGTGTGATTTTTCTGGGCATGGAAATCCTGATTGATTGAGGCTGGAGGAAAAGGATATATAACAGAAACATAGTGTTTGCCAAACAAAATGATTTTTCTAGACTATATTAAGAAATAAATGCAGATTATTAATAAATGTATGATTATTGTGTAAGCTGAACTATTAGCTTATGTAGAAAAAGATAGTTTTATAAAAGTGCGGACATGGCCTGCTGATCTTAAGGAGGTAAGAACTCATCAGCGTTCTGATGAGTAGTCTGCCCATGTTTTGATCCTAGAATGCTGGAAGAGTCCACTGTCCTGACTCCTTCTGTAGCCAGGTATGGTTACCCAGGGAGAGAGGCTGATGAAAATACTCCCCTTCGACTGAAGTCCTTCATGTAACAGCCAAAATGGTTATCGCTGAATAGGAGAGAGAGACCTGGACGTGACTTGGCTCACTGGCAAATAGCAGGAGGTCTCTTGTTTGAAACCTTCAAGCATAACTTCAGGTTCCATGTCTATGGGTGAAGTGGTTCCTGTTTCCAGCATTTACAAATGTGAAAGCATAATTGTCTTTATGAAATGTTAATATTCTTTGCATTTGGTCTATTTAAGTTTTGAATCCTTGGAGCCAGGATATGGTGAAGGCTAAAGATAGCTTTTGCAATTTAAGTATGTGGATTTTTGGCACTTATAAACTTGGGATATGAATGCTAATTTTTTTCTTTTAATTCCAGGAAGTGTCACTGATGAGGGACAACAGTATTGTTGTAGACTAGTGGAGATGGATTCCAGAAGTGGCCCAGGCCTCATTGGCTTAGGTATTAAAGCATTACAAGACAGAAAGTTTGAAGATGCCATTGGAAACCTAACAGAAGGTAAAATGCAGCATATAGCATGTTACGTGAAAAAGAGTTGTGATTCGGTCGGTAGGCACTTATCTTTGGGCATTTTTAAGGAATGTATATCTGAGATAGAAGGGGAAGAAAAATGTACATACATTCCCTGCTTAGGTTTGAATTCCAAGTCTGTCACTCACTCATTTCAAGACCTTGAGAAAGTTAAACATTCTGTGTCTCAATTTTCATTTGCAAGATAGGGAATATAGAATATATACATACAAGCCTTTGGAGGACTTTAACTTAGTATTATCAGGCGTGGTGTTTCTGGATGAACCTACATTCAAATTTAGATTTAAAAAAATATTTTATTTAACTTTATTTATATATTTATTTATTTATTTAAATTTGACCAACAAGGGACAGAGAGAGAGAAAGTGAGAAAGCAAGCCGCCAGGTCCAGTACTTGAACCATGGTCAGCCATGTGGGAGTCCAGCACCCTTAACCACCACGCTACCTGCCGGCCCCTCATATTGGTATTTGAATAATACATGTAAGCCGGACAGGTAGATGAAGGAGATAAAAAAGGAATAGTTTGAGCCAAAACATGAAACTGTGAAATGGCCTGGTGTAAGAGGAACACTATTGCTTAGGAACCTGCAGGTAGTTCACAAGGTGTGAGAATGAAGCATAGGTCCAGGAAGGGGCAAGAAGTGGGTTGTAGTGAGGCCTTGCATTCTTTCTTAAGAACTTCGCACACTATCCTGAGGGCAGTCGGGAATCAGTGAAAGGTTTTAAGCAGGGAAATTTCATAATATGATTTGTATTTTTAGAAATACTCTGGCTACAGTGTAGAGAATGCATTAGAGTAGATGACAGGCACTTCAGGGATCTGGGATGAAGATGGTGGAGGCCTGAAGGGAAATGGTGGTGGTGGCGGTTAAGAAAGGATGTGGAGGGAAATGGATTGGGTAATGGAATCAGTGTGACTTTCACCAGTGAGAGATCAGAGCTGAAGACGAGAGGAGACTGTGATTCAGAGGGTAGGTGGTGGCGGCATATATCTGAGTAACTCTGGAAATCTTATTTTTTGTGATTGTTTGTATCCTTGCAGGATTAAAGGAAAGCCCTCTCTGTACCATTGGATGGTATCATCTGGCAGAAGCACAAGTCAAAATGCATAGGCATAAGGAAGCTGTCCTTTCTTGCAATCAAGGTATTTTTGACATCTTTTGGGCTTAGAATTTAGGGTGGGCAACTCTGTTTATTTTCATCTTAAAGGAGAAAGGTAGTAGTTTTATACACCCAGATGGTATACTTTGTATTTTAAATTGCTGACTAAATTTAATTGAGGTTAAGTAAATGCAAAGTCTGCATACATGTTGACTGGTATATTTATTTTTGAAATGATAGTGAATGCTTTTCAGAGGGTTTCCTGCATTTAGAATTTTGACACAATCCATTTAATATTAGAGGGAGATGCCCTGTCTTCATAACAAAGATGTCAGGGCTTTGATGAGTTCTTCATTTTTCTAATACAGATAAGGGAGTCTTAGAGACCTTGGAGCCTATTTGAATGTGATTGAGTGAACTGTAGGGATAGGAAATTCTAAAAAGTCATTCACTATTCCTGACCCGCTGGTATCCTAGCCTCTGTAACTGAGAAACAGTTCACCCTGGTTCATTCTAAGTCAGCCTCTTTCTCCTTCCAGTATCCTTAATTTGCTGGCTTTGTTACAGTTAGTTGCTTTGGCTAAGGGCTGCCCTTTGTTATATGACAGCTATAGATAGCTGTTATGTTTCAGATGCTCAGTTTTATTATATCATGAGAAGATAGAGGTTTAAATTAGAATGTATTGTGTTTTAAAGTCAGACCTTTTCATATAGAGTCAGAGAAGAATTTATATTTGTCTTTGGCTTATTCTTCATGTATATTGTTTTGGAAATTTATGCTTATTACATTTGCAATCTATTGTATGTTATCCTTAAAGGGAAAAAGTGAAGTGAGATGGTTATCTTTATTCAGATGTCCTTAATTTTGTCAGCTCTGAAGAACATAGATAATCTCTCTCTGGTTGGTGGCAGTCTTCAGCAGAAGACCCTCTGTCTCCAGTTGAAGGCAGAGGCTTTGATCAAGCTCTCAGATTACGAATCTTCAGAGGAAGCACTTCGTACTCTCGATCAGGTAGTCTTATAATCAAGATTTTGTCCTCATCATTAATAAGTTTCCAATCGACAGTGCAACAACCACTTTCTCCCTACCACAAATGCTTACTTATGTAGATTTTGTGTCGGAAGTAGGAATTCACTGATCTGCACTTTTATAAAAAACACTCGCGGGAACCAGCAGTTAGCATAATGACTATGTCGCTGGACTCCCACGTAGTCGACCGCGGTTCGTGTCCCGGACCCGGTGGCTTAAAACTCACGCCGGGCGCGTGTGCATGCGTGCCCAAGATCCCGAGAGGAGAATGGAGGAGAAGGGATTGCGGCGTGACCATCCCCCCTGGGGGGTGATTTCTCGCTTTCTCTCTCTATGTCTCTCTCTGTCTGTCTGGCGAGTGCACGCGCCCTACAGTGAAAATCTCTCCAAAAAAAAAAAAAAAAACACTCGTGTGATTGGGACTCCTGAAGTTATTTGTTTTTAGTTAGGTTCTTACTCTTTATATGAGGCAATTTCTTTATAGCTCTTATTCTCCTGTCTTCATCTTTGCCCTCTTAGGTTATTGCTACTTGATTATTATTAATTTGGGATTTCTAAACTTTTCTGTATAGAAAATATTTTATAGATCATTGACAGTAATAGCTGTGAGAATAATTAAGGACAGTAATAGCTTTTGGGTAGAGAATGTTGCTTATCTGTTTCATTCAAAGAAACATTGGTATTTAAAAAGGAAATGATTTCTTAGTGTTTTTGGTTCAAGCAATTTGAAATTCACTAACGAGTACATTTTGAATTATAACATTGTGCTTTAAGGATTTTTATCAGGTAAAAGTAGTTTCTTGTCTGAAATTATAACTCTGTCTCAGTGTATTATAGTGTTTTGAGTTTTTTTAATAAAATCATTGTTTCGTGTAATTAAAAGGCTTTGCATTTGATATTCTTTAAAAATTACAACAGTTGTCAGCATCCTTCAAGAACCAATATCTATTTTTATTCTTTCCTTCCCAACAATAACGTGCTTTATCACTTCATATCTTACCAATAATTTTTTTTCACACACTCAAAAAAACACAATGAAAAGTTTCTTAGGGAGCTGGAGAAGTCTGGGTCCAAGATAAAGTGTCTAATCTTGTCATGTTAGAAGGGCTACCAGGGCTGTGTCAGAAGTTTGCAGAAGTGTAAAGACATTCTCACTGCCCAAGAGGGTACCTGTAGCAGCAGTGGGTTGAAACACATCAAATGCATTTAAATCCACGTTTCATGATTTACAAAAAAAAAAAAAAAAATCCTTGAGAAACCAAAATTTTGGAGGATGCTAAGTACCCACCTGGAAAGAATCCTGTAATTTATCCTGCCTTTCTCACATGAGCCATTCCTCAGGGTAAGGAATAGCAAGGGGGGAAAATTTCTCTTCGTTGAAGTATTCCATGTACTAAGGGAAGAAGGGATGAGCAAATTAGAAAACCACTGTTTTGCAGTCGCTAATAAATTTATACATCTGAGCATCGGGGATCAATGCCAATATGAAAGGAAAGACAACCAGACACAACCAGTATAAGTACAAAGGAAGTGTCCTTTCCAAAACATCTGGCCTGAATCAGATCAAGCTTCTAGACCTAATCCCCCACGTACAGAAATACAGAGGACTGAGGAGGAACCCGTTAGGCGTTAGAATACATTCGTAAAATCCAGACTGGAGATGCTGGGGCACATGGGCCATGTTGACAACAGTTCAATTGTCAGGGAGAAATAAAAAGACACAGAATAGAACCTTACAGATGAAAAGAGATTTAAGAGACTTATCAGTCCATTGAAATGTATATACCTTGTTTGGATTTTGATGAAAACAAATCCTTTCTGAGACAATTGGAAAGTTTGATATTAAGCATGTATTGTTACTTTCGTTCAGATATGGTAATGTGGTTATGCCATTTAAAAGGAACTGATCTTGTAGATATTGTTCTAGGTTGAACATCCCTAATCTGAAAATTTGAAATCAGAAATGTTCTAAAATCTGACACTTTTTCAGAGCTGACATGACATCATTAGTGGAGATTTCCACACCTGACCTCATGTCAAAATGCTGGAATACAAAAGTAGTATATAAAATTACCCTCCAGTTGTGTTTATAAAGTACATATGAAGCAGAAACACATTGACATATAGACTTTGGACTCATCTCCAAGATGCCACATTGTTGATAGCAAGTATTTCCAAATCCAAAAATAATTCTGAAATCTGAACATACCTAGTCCCAAGCATTTCAGATAAGGAATAATCAACCTGTATTGAAATGTCATAGATGAAAATTTCTAATATAAGATTTGTTTCAAAATCATCTGAGCTGCAAGTATGGTCAAATGGGTAGAGGCAGAGATGAAAAATGATTGCCTTTGAATTTATCAATTGTAGCTGGATGGTAGATACAAGTGCCTTATTATACTAGTCTTCCTAATTTTTTTTTTTTTTTTTGTAGAGAGAGATTTTTGCTATAGGGCATGTGTGCTTGCCCAAAAAAACAGAGAAAGACAGAGAGACAGAAAGTGAGAAGTCACCCCTCAGCAGGGATGGCCGTCCTACAATCCCTTGTCTCTTTCTCCTGTTGGGATCTTGGGCATGCATGCATACGCGCCTGGTGTGAGTTTTAAGCTGCCAGGTCCGAAATTGCGTGGGAGTCCAGCGACAACCATAATGCCATCTGCTGGTCCCAATCTTTCCAATTTTTTTATATATTTGAAATTTTTCCTATTAAAAAGGATACAGGGAATGAAAGTGTTAATAGTGGATAGAAATCAGGACCACCTACCTATTTATTCTATTAGGACCATGCTTTGCTATGTTCATTCTTTAAAGCAAACATTGTTGTGGTGTTAAAGGAGATTTATGGTAATTATTTACAATTATACTCTAGGCTTCTGATGCAAATAATATCCCAGGACTCTTGGTTCTCAAAAGCTTGGCCTATCTGAACAAAGGCTCACTAGATGAATCTACAAAGGTTAGTATACTTTTTTTCTTTTAAATTCAAACTAAGCATATTTCGGAAGTTGAAAGTTATTTTTATTTGGATATAAAACTGACAGATATCTACTTTTATAGATTATGGAAGATCTCCTCTCTTCTTACCCTGAACTAGTTGAAGCTCGTGCCCTTGAGGCTTTGATTCATTTTACCAAAAAGGACTATTTGCAAGCAGAAAAATGGTAAGGATGTATAGTTTGCTCATTGATTCGGCCATCTCTTAATTTATTATAGTTCTCAATATCCAAAATCAGTGGGCTTGATGAAAATCCAATTTTATATAAATTTGATCTTTGTAAGCTTTACGACTTAGTATTTTTAAGAAATGTATTTATCATGTGGCATAGTAACTAAAAATAATCTATGTTGGGTTTCAGATCTAATTAGCTGATCATGAAGTTTAGTAAGTGGGTATAACATTTGGTATATACTCTGAACACTTCTTACGAGGCAGTGCTAAAAGGCCATTGTGCTTTTTTAAGCTCATCTCCAAAAATAAATTACTTTTGTTCATTATAATCTAGATCCTAAAATAATGCCTTATTTCTATTTGGCATCCTTGAACCACTCAAATTTTGTTCCAACTAGGAATCATCTATATCATTCCTATGTGTGTGTATGTGTATATATATATGTGCATATATGTGTATCCATACACACTTGTACATTTGCATGAATGATGCAGAAGTATGGATGTGTATATATACACACATGTATATGATACATGACACATATATATGATGATACATATATGTGTATATAGAGACATATCATTCATGTGTATGTGTGTACATATATACACACATATAGAATGTGTATATATACACATACAGATACATATGAATGCATATATTTTGTATATATGCATATATACGCACACACACATATATTATACACAGACACAAATATACATAATGTTCAACAAGTGAGAGAAGAGAGAAAGACACACAAAAATGTGACTTCCAAAAGTTTGTGAATTAAAGCACAAATTTATTTTGGCAAAAAAGTTTTTAAATTCTTGAGTGATTTTTTTTGGTAATATGAATTTTCTGAGTGTTCTGAAGCCTTTGTATATGTACATGCATGAGTGTGTATATACATACACATATGTATTCATTTATTAATTGATTTATTTTAATATTCCTTTTTCTTTTCCTTTGGTGACTTAGTTTTCAGAGAGTGCTTGAGAAAGATCCTGAAGTTGCTGAATATCATTACCAACTTGGGTTAACGTACTGGTTCATGAGTGAAGAAACAAGAAAAGATAAAACAAAGGCTCTTACCCATTTTCTGAAGGTAGACAAATGCTAGTATTCAGTTCTGAGTTGGAATGGCATTTTGAAATCATAAGTGATTATCGTGTAGATAAGATACTTAAAATGATTCTTTATGGAAATGTTTTTGCACTTCATCTCACACACCTAAGTTTTTGTGAGAATGTTACGTGGATTTTCAAGGAGAAAATGAATCCATAACAATATAAAGGTTACTTTGTAATAAGTAAGTATATAGAAAATAAGACATGATTATTACTGGAAAACAATACTGTTCTCAGGTAATTTCCACTGAGTTTAACAAGCATATGAGTCTGGATGTTTAGCTTCTTGTCTTTTTAGATGTTTAACATCTGTTAATTCTTACATGTTCATCTTGATTTATAAGAGCAGGTTAATTTAATAGTAATTCTGATCTCAGGTTTACCCAAGAAATAATGTTTTTACATTTCTGTTTACTTTCTAATGCTGTGAAGGCCAGATTTCAAATCTGTTTTAAATCTACATTAAAGGGTGTTTTGGCATACTTTTATATATTTAATAAAATTCTTCCTTTTTTCTTTAATCTTGTGCATTTTTCTTTTATATTTTTAAAGATACTCAACCAACTGAACTTTTAATATACTACTTTTGTCAATATTTATTTCAAAGGCTGCAAGACTGGATACATACATGGGCAAAGCTTTCTGCTACTTAGGCCACTATTACAGAGATGTTGTGGGAGATAAGAGCAGAGCCCGTGGGTGTTACAGGAAAGCTTTTGAACTCGATGACACTGATGCTGAGTCTGGAGCCGCAGCGGTTGACCTCAGTGTGGAGCTTGAAGATATGGTATCTAATAGCCACTTCACCTTTTGGGCTTTTTATCCCGAGTATATCAATGGAATTAGTTTTCTATATATATCTACTTGAAAGTCATCATTAGTTTTTGATTAACATTTTGAAGATAAAATAGAAATATTTTTGCCTGTATTTATAACTTTTCATTGACAGATATTAAATTATGTATCCCTTATTGTTGAAGCTGTAGTTTGATGTATATTGGTGTAAGTTTAAAGAAAATCAGAAGTGGGAAACAAAAATATATTTGTGTATTTTGCATGGGTATTCTGTATTTTTGTGATACTCAATAGCTCTGATATCCGTATTTTCTGATTATTAGGAAACTGCCTTGGCTGTCCTAACAACAGTAACTCAAAAGGCAAGTGCTGGAACAGCAAAATGGGCGTGGCTCAGGCGAGGACTATACTATTTGAAAGCTGGTCAGCATTCTCAAGCAGTGGCTGAGTAAGGCATCTTCTTATATTTAAACTATGCTACACAGTATAACAATTTCTTTCCTTCTTATTTTTAAAGAATTACTTATTGGACCAGCAGGTGGCATTGTGGTTATAGCGCTGGACTCCCACATGGGCAACTATGGTCCAAGTTCTGGACCTGGTGGATGAAGACTCATGTTAGGTGTGTGTGCGTGTATGCCCAAAATCCCAAGGGAAGAATGGAGGAGAAGGGATTGTGGCATGGCCATCCCCTCTAGGGGGTGATTTCTCACTTTCTCTCTCTCTATGTTTCTGGTGAGCGCATGTGCCCTAAAGCAAAATCCCTCTCTCAAAAAAAAAAAGGAATTATTTAATTTTAAAAATTATTATTGGGACCAGCATTTGGTGTAATGGCTATGTCGCTGGACTCCTATGTAGTTGACTGTGTTTCGAGTTCCGGCCCAGAGACTTGAACTCACACCAGGTGTGCGTGTGTGTGTGCCCAAGATCCCGAGAGGAGAATGGAGGAGAAGTGATTGCAGTGTGACCATCCACCCTGGGGGTTATTTCTTGCTTTCTGTCTCTCTGTCTCTCTCTCTCTCTGTCTTTCTGGTGAGCGCACATGCTCTATAGCAAAAACCTCTTCAAAAAAACAATTATTACTATTATTAGTAGTAGTTTTTAAATTTGCTGCAGAGCTCATGCACTCACCTGAGGGAGAGATTGAGAAAGAGAGAGAGAAAGTGAGAAAGCAAATTGCCAGGTCTTGGACTCAAACCGCAGCTGGCCATGTGAGAGTCCAGTGCCTTAACCATTGTACCACCTGCTGGCCCCAGTATAATAAGTTCTTAAATTAAACTTCATTTATACCCAAATTAACTTTACACGTTGCCTTTTACCAGATTGTTTTCTGGGATAAGACATAGCAGAATTTATTTATAATTGATTGGTATTGTCTGTAAGGCAGTGGAATTGGAAAATGAATGAAATATCTTGTTCTTAAGGAGATAGTCCAGTGAAATGGTAATAGTATCGTACAAATAGCAAGCAGGTTGTCAATAGAAATTTGAGTAATGACGAAAAACTGAGGTATACATTTTTG